CCAGATGCAAATCCAATTGAAAATGTTTGGGCGCTTATAAAGTTTAAGCTCCGAGGAAAGAAAATATGGACCGTCAAGCAGTTAATTCGACAGATTCGATTTATATGGAGATCTTTGTCTGAAGATTATGCTGTAAAATTAGTAGAAAGTATGCCTCGGAGATGCCAGTCAATTATTGATAATGGAGGCGACTGGACAACTTATTAATAATAAAGCATCGCAGTCTATATCATGCATAATGTGTACAAATTTTTTCAATTTATGTATTATCCTAAGTTTTTGAGTTTTGCCGTACACGCTCTTATCAAACATACTGTATGTAAGAATGATTCAACCCACAGAATTATGTTCTTGGATCTTTTGTTACCAATGAGTAATCCATAGTAGTTATTTTACACAGAAATAAAAAAATTCAAGCCTGATAGACGCCTAAAGGTACCTTTTAAATAGGAGGTAAAAGGTTAAGGATATTCATTGACTAACTCAACACTTAAAAATCGATTAAAAGGATGCAACTAAAATAATTACACAACTAACAGAAAATAAAAATTGTTTTCTAATTAATATTAAGGTGTCTTTACATGGGAGCATCGAGCGTCGAGCGTTAAAGCGTTAGCCAATCAACGTATCAGGTCCCAGAAGTATACTTGTAGTTCTTGCGGAAAGTGGCACGTTGATTGGCTACCGTTTTAACGCTCGACGCTCGATGCTCCCATGTAAAGGTACCTTAATATTAATTAGAAAACAATTTTTATTTTCTGTTAATTGTGTAATTATTTTAGTTGCATCCTTTTAATCTATTTTTAAATGTTGAGTTAGTCGATGAATATCCTTAATCTTTTACCTATCAACGAAATATACATATATTTTACCATTAAAAGACACAGTAGTGCCTCACATGAAATGCACGCGCAAACAAAGCGACGACAACCGTTTTGCAGTACCGGCCTGGTATCTTTTTAGAAAATTTTTTTACGGAAGCTGGGACACTGGGCGCCTTTTTTCGATTCTTTTTTTTTTTAATTAATAATAACCTTACTCAATTGAGTAAACAGCTTTTTTGGCATTACAGAACACATTAGTTATTAATTTACTTATTCATCAGTGTCCCTATTTCTTTAGCGCCAAACATAAAACTTTTAATTGTTTCGATAAAACTACATTATACACTAATGTATGTAATAAAGTAAAGATAAAAAAATTTTAAACCTTTAAAAATCTTTAAAGATCTACCAAGTTCGGTAGCGAAAGAGTTAAAAAAAGAAAATTGATCATGTTTGATTTCTTGAACGATTAAAAAACCTCAGTGCTACACGGAAAAAACAATTCTGTTGGTGCAACCGAATTTTCGGTTGCTCAGGGATCAGACGAAAACTTGGCTGTAGGAACAGAAAAATTCCTTTATAAAGTTTCTGTATAGTCAATTGTTCTCAGTTGCTTCAACCGAGTTCTAATATCGCTGAATGTTCAGATGAATATTTTCGGTTGCGACAACAAAGATATTAGTTTTCAAAACAGAGATATCGCTTCTGATCGCCTAATCCAACTGAGATTTTTTTTGTTTATTTATACTTTTTATTTATATATTAAATTTTCATTTTTATTTCTTTCGAAACATAACTTCATGTGGGTTGGATTATTCTCGTATAATTACGGCCAATTGAAGTGGATAGGATGAAATCGCGCGGTAATTTCGGATGAATTAATTTCACACAGGCGTCTCAAACGATCTTCCTTCAGGCGCAATTATCGGACTTCGTTAACCTTCACGCCATTCGATTTATCAATCTGTTCAAGTGGGACGGGAGTGTCTGTGTGCGTTCGAGAGATGCTTCGAATGGGAAGGAGATATCCTATATTCGATTAAAATCTAATTTTTCAAGAGGGACGCGTGCCCGCGCGCAATTCCCCCATGAACAAGATCGAAGGTACGAGTTATGAGTTCGCTGGATACACTGCGACAAAGTAATATATAAACGCAGTTTACTTCCGCTTCCGGCCTCGGCACACACGAGCTCTCTCCATGAGAATTTCGTTACAACGCGGAATACTCGCGAGCTTCGCAGCCGAAACTTGGCGATGCGAGTCCGCCAAGTTATTTCCTCCTGGAATTACGAGAGCGAGAGGGAACTGTGTTTTTATTTGACCACAAATTTCCAGCTAGTGCGCTTCAAATAACACAGCCCCGCGCTGTCGTCTCCTTCGCAAGAAACGTGATTGCAACGATAATTGCGCAGCACGTCCTGAAATTACGTTCTCGTGCGCGAGAGCACGCGGCATGATTGTAATCGCCACGATCTAATTTAATTTAATTCAACACGGCGATATATATCAGGCACGCGTGTCGCACGCGGCGCAACGAACACGTCATAATTGTTTTCGCAACAATGTGACCGCGTTTGAAACGAATTCCCGCGTAATGAAACAGCGTAGCTAGCGTCGGGGATTGCATTATTGTTACGACGACGCGAAACGTCGAGGTAGAGCCCGTCACCGCGATTGCAACTGTGAAATTGTCGGGGCTGTCGCTGGAAATAATTTTCGAAATGTCGACGCGCGACTCGGTCGCGTTATGCGCGCGAGTGAGAAAATCTATTTTCGGTGTCGGACGGTAAAATACCCGGCCGCGCTAAATCGAGATGCCGCGGCGACAAATAATGACGTTTCTCGCGGATATCGTGCGCGAGACGCAGCTTTTAAGCTACGCCAATGAGGTTAACGACGAAGAGGGACAAATTTCAAAAACGTATCAGTATCGAGTTAAATTGGAGGCGACTGCGACAGCAAAGTGTAATTCGAGCATGCACTTTGCCCATATATAGGGTTGCGCTCACGACACACATTGCAAAATATCGTCTTTCTCAAAAAGCTTTTTCACCACACTACACATCGGCGGTATCGTTTTCCTCAAAAAGAAGAAAAGAATCAATTTCCCTCTGGTAAATATTTCATCTCACGGCTTTACACCGGAAAATCACGCGAGCTCTTATTTAATTATTCAACTCCTCAAATACCTCTCTTTGCGTTGTTGTTCAAAATTTCAAAATGCCTCTTGGCCGCATGGAAAGAATTTTATAATAAAAATTACTATAGAATTTCCTAACCGAAAAACAAATTAACGTTCTGCAATAATTTATTATCTATTCG